AATGTGGTGGGCCAAGACCACCATTTCCGGAGGCGGACAAGCCGTCTTAACTTTTACTAAATAAAAACTTAACCTTTAATATAAAAATAAATAGAATTATAAAGTATAGTATATAATTAACTATAAAGTAGTATAATATAAACGATATAGCGTTAAGAAATAAGAAATCTTTAATTAGCTATAAGAAATTAGTCTTTTAAGCCTTAATATAATATTATATAATAAAAATATAAAAAAACAATATTAATAATAAATTAAAAAAGAATACCTATATAAAACGAATAAAGACTAAGTAAAAAATAAAGTATACTATCTATAAAAGGGCTATAGACTAGTATAATATAATAAGATCTAAAGACCTTATATATAGTAATAGTAAGCTATAGTAACTAAATAGTATTAGATATTTAAATTATAGGATATTATATATATATACTTTTAGATTATAGCGTAATAGGTAATTACGTTTTACTTAAAGTTATTAACTATTACTAACTTATATAAAGATATAAGAAAGATCTATATAAACTTATAAATATTAAAGGAGAGGCTTTTAACTATAATAATAGAATTATTAATATAGAGATTAATTACCTTAATATTAATATCTAGGGCTATAATAAATAAGTTAACTTCGATATTATAAATATTAAAGAATATAACCTTATATTAAGACTTTTATAGCTATAAGAGAGCAACCTATTAATTAACTAGAAAACTAGCTAGCTATATTAAAACGAGAACGTAAGTTTCTAAGACTAATAGATTCAAAAGAAAGTAAAATTTTATAATAATCTAGCTACTAAATAAGATAAAAAGGATAACTATTTAAGTAAATAAAGAAGCGCTAAGAGATAGAGCGCTTCCCTCCTTATATAAACGACCCTTTTTACTTTAACCTTACTTATATATAACTAAAAGTACTATTTTAAAATATATAAAAGAGATATAAGCTAGCTTAGTTAGCGCTTTACTACTAAGCTAGCTTTAACTTAATAGTACTATAGGAAGTAAAAGCTATATTAAGAGGCGCCCCCCCCCCCCTTTAAAGCGGCGCCTTACCATGCCCCACCCCCCTTTCGGTAACACCCACCTTTCGGTAGCGCATTAGGAAATATCCCCACCAAAACCCATCAATTTCACTTACACCGATTCCAGCCAGCTTTGAAGATATTCACAAGCCGTCACTTGGAGTAGATAGAGGATTGATTGAATTCTACTTTTCGATGGTTGAATGTTTGTACAGGGGTCTGTGGCCTGTGCGTACCTTGCACGCGAAATTACCATCCAACCCCCTAATCTCCTTCCGCCTCCTGACGATGATTCTTCTCGTTATTCCTCCACCACATGACCAAAATGACCTTAAAGCGGCCTCGGGTATTTATACGGAGGATATTATGGCTAATGCGATAATTGATGTCACAAAAACGGCTTGTCGCAGTACCGCGCCGCCCAAAGTATGACATACCTCAGCAGTCTATTTCCGACAGACTCAAAGGCCAGGTAGCCCTGGCTGATCAGATCCAGCCTCGTCAACTCTTGAGTAAGTCTCAGGAAGCTCGCTTGGTTTCTTGGATCCTCCGCCAAGAGTCTCTCGGCTATGCTCCCTCACAGTCAGATCCGCGCATGTGTGGAGGCTCTTGAAAGCAACTGAACAACGAGCGGACAGTGGGGCGCAACTGGGTCTCTAAATTCATCAATCGCCATCCGGACATCAAGAACAAGCGTGGGAGACGTCAGGAAGCTAACCGATTTAATGCTTTTACGCCTCGTGCGGTTCACTGGTTCTTCGATATCAGGAAAAGGAGTATGGATGGATTAAACCAGAAAATACCGTGAATGTTGACGAAGGCGGTATTATGTCTGGCTTTGGTGAGTATTTGGCTTGTCTTTCATTACTTTTACTAACCAGACTCTTTTGCCAGGTTTGGATAGTCTTGTGGTTGGGAGTGCAGACCCAAAACGGAAGGCCCTTCTGAAAGGGCCACAGTCCCGCAACTGGACCTCATTTATTGAAGCTATCACCGCGGACGGCCGTGTCCTTACCCCTGGCATTATCTTTAAGGGCAAAGAACTTCAGAAACAGTGGTTCTTGACGGAATTCGGCAAAATAGCCGACTGGCATTACATAACGTCGCCCAACGGATGGACGGACAACCATATCGCTATTGAGTGGCTTGAGAGGGTCTATTTGCCCCAGACGCGACCAGCCGATGCCTCAGATGCTAGACTGATCATATTAGATGGACATGGAAGTCATGCAACGGTGCGTTTCTTTATCCACCTCTGTAGGAATTACCGTTAACCGGGACCAGGATGCATGGATGGCCACATGCTTTTTGAACAACGTTTATTGCTGTTACCTTCCTGCCCACTGCTCTCATGGCCTCCAGCCGTTAGATAACGGTGTATTCAATGCCTCCAAGGCAGCTTACCGGAAAGAACTTCAGAAATTGACCTGTTTGACCGATTCTGCGCCTGTTCATAAGGTCAATTTTATACGGGCATATGCTAAAGCGCGCGAGGTTGGAATGACGGCAAAGAATATATTGTCCGGCTGGAGGGTCACTGGGAATTGGCCGATCTCACGATCCAAGGCATTGCGGCATCCAGAAATTCACGCGGACATTGTAGAGACGTCTCCAAAGTCCGCGCCATTTTGGGTTCTGATGATACGCCAAGAAACAGCCGCCAGATTCGCGATTTCGGAAAGAACAAGACTCCTGGCACCCGGAGACGATACGCCGTGATAGCTAGAGGCTTTGAAGCCCAAGAACAGACGCTTGCCGAGCACAGCAACAGAATCGCGAAGCTAGAGGAAGAAGTGGCCCGGCTGCAGAGAGGCAAGAAGAGGAGAGCAATTCCGAACCCGAACAGACGGTTCATGACTCTCAGTGAAGCTTTGGTGGCTGAGAAGCCATTCCCAAATTAAAAGCCAAGAGATAGCCGTTGTGCTGAATTCTGACACAGAGGAGGAGGCGGTCTCAGAGGTGGAGACAGCTTCAGTGATCGAAGTCAAGGTGGCACCGAAGCCCTTCCAGTCACCACCAGATCCGGGCGAATGGTAAAAAAGCGCCGGTACATATAAGAGCGTCCATTTCTCTACGGAATGATATATTTTTTGTGTTTATAATGTTAAGTTCTGATCATATTTCATGTAGTTCAAATGGTAGACTTTTGGTGGAGAATTTTTCAATTGCGCTACCGAAAGGTGGGTGTTACCGAAAGGGGGGTGGGGCATGGTATAGCTTAGTTTATAAGGAGGGGAGGTATATACTATATATATATATAAAGCTTAGGCTTAGGACTTAGTCGCCTTAGTTTAAACTAAACTAAAGCGAGGTTATTTTTAGTAATAGTACTAAACTATAAGTAATTTACTTACTATTAAGGGCTATAAGGGCTAGAACGTTATATAATCTAAGTATAATTAAACTAAAGTACCTTATAGTAATAGTAAGGGACTTTAATATCTATTACTAGCTCTAAGATAAATATAATAGAACCTTAAATAGCTTAATATAACTTATATAAGAGGTAATAAGACTATAACTTAAACTTACTACTTTAAGAAAGAAGTATATAAGATTTTTCTATAGCTAAAGGGATAGTACTATTAACCTAGCTTAGGTAACGCTAAAGACTAAAATATAGTATACTAGGCCTAACCTAGACTTAACTAAGTTAAACTATATCCCTTAGACTATTATACTATAGGTTAATACTTAGGCCTAGGTACCTAAACTAGCCTTAAGATAAAAAGAAGTAAAAGTAAAGCTAGTTAAAGCTAAGACTATATCCTAGCTAGGACTATACTAGCTAATACTTTAAACGCTTAAGGATATCGACTAAGACCTAAACTATATCTTTACTACTTTAGTATAAATCGCGATAGCTATAGTTCTACGCTAAGGGCGAGTATTACTTAAGGGTAATATATAGTTTACCCTAAAGGTAAGGAGGGTAATAAGGGAGGCTAAGAGGGTAAAGAGGAAGTATAAGTAGGAAAGGAGTAAAGTAAACTAAGAAGACCTATATAAAGTATCTATAGCTTAGAAGTAGACCGTTTATAAGGTAAGGAGGGCCTATTAGCGTAAGTTCTTAAAGGAATTAAATACTAATAATACTAAGCTTTAAAATATAGATGTTACGACCCGACCAACGGATGTTACGACCCGACCAACGGATGGCCATGACACGGGCCAGGGATGACTAACCGCTGAAGGATCACGTGACCATGCGAAAGGTGATCGGTGGATCGCCTTACGATCAAGCGAGCGGTGCTCGACGGATCGTTCATCGATCAAGGTGATCACCTCTGTGATCACCTCCAGCACCTCGCGATCAGAGACGGGCAGTTGGGTATATATAGCTGCCCCATTTCACTCCTTTAGACTAGATAGCTCTTTAGCTTTCAACACAATCATTACGATCCCTATCACGATCTCATCTCTGATTCCGATCACTTGATTACCTGGTTACAGTCTACGGTCTACGACCTCCGACTCATCACCAACGTGACATACTTATCATTGCTCAGACCACGCCCTGTTGTATCTGCCAACATAAACCCCACGACAGGTTTATCCCTTGGGAATATCACCGGTCGTCACACGTTGAAAGCTCTTGTTCAGAACGATACCGCGTCTCTCTGAGCAATATCGCATAACTGTCAACATGCCTGCACAGCAAACTGGATCAACCAACTCGGGACACACCGTGTCGCCGCAGGACATGATGCGCGAAATCATCAGCCTTCGACAGGAGGTCCAAGTGCTCAGGAACGGAGGAGGCAACGGACAAGTCAGGGACATCGGAGAAGCAGTCAAACCAAAACAGCCAGGACCATTCGACGGTACTCATGGCACGCTTCGAGACTTTCTCACCCAACTCAAAGCCTACCACCGATTCTATCCGACCAAGCTCTCGGACCCAGTCGAAAGGTACTCCACGCAGGAAATTGTTTATCTGGAACGGCACTCGCCTGGTTTGGACCCATCATGAGGGACTTTCTCGACAACCAACCAGCGCGACGAGACAACGAGACAGACGAAGTCTTTGCCAGTTTCCAAGGATTCGAAGAAGCCATTACGAAGGTATTCGGAACAACCGACGAGGAACGAGAGGCCGAACAGAAACTTCGAGAACTCCGACAAAGGATCTCAGCATCGGATTATGCTGCGAAGTTCCGTCAAGTCACCTCAAAGCTTGATTGGGACGACGAACCTCTTATGTCACGATTCTACGACGGGCTGAAAGAAGAAGTCAAGGACGAGCTCTACAAGGAAAATCGACCTGACAACCTCTCGGACTACATTGCTATGGCAGTACGAATCGACGACAGACAGTATGCGCGACGCCAAGAAAAGAAACAAGGAAGAGGAAACTGGAACCCTTCCTATGGGAACAACTTTAACCGACGCGCCAACTACAAGAAGAAGCGCGAAACTCCCATTGCTTACGCCCACACAACTAACCCAGGCAAAATGGACCTGGATGCAACAAAGAAGGGCGAAGGAAAATGCTTCAACTGCGGAAAGTTGGACATTTCTCACGAAATTGCAAGCAACCTCGCAAGGAGAAGAAAGTTCACTGGGCCCCAGCCCCAGAAGGTAAGAGACACCTGAACGCTACTAACAAGCAGGAACCAAAGCATGAACTCCTTAGTTGGACTGCATGCTACGACGACAAATGCACGGTACACCTAAGCGACAAAAACGGTACCGGATGGTTCCCAAAGCCACCAAAGAAAACCCTTGCAATGGTGCAACGAAGAGATCCCACAACACAGAAACAAGTCAAATTCGCAGAACCAGAATACCCCTATCCTGAAGGAGTCTCACAAGACTGGATCAGGAAGAACGGCAAACGATTCCAGGAAGACATGCGAAATAAGGATCGACAACAACGACGGGCAGTCTATAAACAACATAACAAAGAAGATACGGACGCAGCCCTTATGCTCACGAAACTCGGACAACAACCCGAAGAGGAACAACGAAGTTTCGACGACACAAGCTCTGAAGAACAAGACACGCTACAAGAAACAGAAGACGAGGATGAACTCGCACCACCACCCTCACTACTAAGGAAAACGCCACGATTGGAGAACACGCTCCATACTTCGAAGAATTCGAAGAAATGCTCAAAATTGAACTCAACAAATACCTCAAATTCTCACGGAAAACCAACAAGCTGCATTGATTCGATACCAACCGGCACCACGCGGAGGAGACTACGCTGTGGCTATCGCCGCGGTCGACACCTTTACAGCTCTACAACGAGAATGGCAACCACGAGGAGAATTTTCAGATGACCCAAGAACAGTGCTCAGTCACGAAGAGCACAAACATATTTCATGGATCTCATGCGTCTATTTGGACTGCATGATACACTTCAGAAGAAGGCACGACACAACGCTTTCCCAGTCAGATTCGACGGACAAATACTTTCGAAACCCTACCTAAGCACGGAACTGGACTACTGGAAAATCGATCAACGTTACCCGAACGACCAAGTCATGTTATTGGAACCCGATTACGGCACGCCACTTGAATGCCGCGATGATTACGGTTCTTTAACGAGATGTCTTTCGGAAACATGCAAAATCCACAAACACGCCAAAATTGGGGAATGGCACAACGCCACTCGCTCTAAGGCATCCGAACCATCTATCTTCACAAGACTCGCGCAACGAATCAGATGCGACGAAGAAGATTACAACGAATGTGCACACCCGAACTGCAAAGTTCACGAACACGAAAAGGCACGAGCATGGCACAAACGACACAACGGTGCACCAAAGGACTACTGGCGACACCTACGAAGGCTACAAGCTACATTCGACCAAGGAAAAATTAACGCAGAAGAACTACGCGCAAAACAGAAAGACGCAGAACGAAAACTCGATTCCTGGTACGAAAACGAACAGAATTGCGAAGCACGGTACGCAATCAACTGCGAAGCAGCACAATGCAAACAACACAGCGTTGAGAAACAAGAAATCTTCGATTGGCTACAAGAAATCAGTCTCTTGAGCCCCGACACGACACCACGCGACGAAAACATAAAGAAACGATATCAACAACAAATCGAAGAAGAATACCCAAATGAAACGAATAAGGACCAGGCAAAACGAGGTACGCCATCTGTAAAGGGCTACAGACTGGCACGACACGACAAGATCCAAGGACCCTATGCATGGCAACGGCAAGCCATGGCAACCAAATGGTATTGGACATCCAAATCGCGGGACATCACGTACACGCACTATTGGATTGCGGCGCGATGGGCAATTACGTTTCACCTAGAGTCATCAATCGTTACCGACTCCCATGGAGACACAAGAAAGATCCATATGAACTCACGAATATCGAAGGAGAGGCCTTCAACTATAACAACGGAATCATTGATATGGAGATTGATCACCTCGACATCAATATCCAGGGCCACGACGAACGAGTCGACTTCGACATCATGGACATTGGAGAACACGACCTTGTGTTAGGGCTTCCATGGTTACAGGAGAGCAACCCACTGATCAACTGGAAAACTGGCCAGCTGCGTTGGAACGAAGACGCAAGTTTCCAAGACCAGCAGATTTGGGAGAAAGCAAAATTTTGCGATGATTTAGCCACTGAACAGGACGAAAGGGATGACCGTTCAAGCAAATCATTACGGGCTTCAGCGATACAAACGAAAACAGCAACCGAACCGGCGGACACAACAAAATCGACTGACAAGACCCACGTACTGACCAACACGGCTGTACAACCTGGCATCCGACATAAACAGAACAAAGGACACAACAAGAAGATCCGAAGAGTTATTGCCACTCTAAGGAAAGACCTCGAACAAATCAACAAAGAGCTCGAGTCAAGGGAAACCAGCTCTCAAAAGAAAGAACAAAGCCCACAAGACAGAATGAAGAACATCCCACAGGAATACCGGAAATACGACAAACTCTTCAAGGAAGAACTCGAGACAGGGTTACCCGAACACAGTCAATGGGACCACGAAATTTGTCTCAAAGATGGAAGAACGCCGACGTTCCATAAGATTTACAACCTAAACGAAAAGCAACTGCAAACGCTACGCGACTACCTCGACGAGAATCTACGAAAGGGATACATACGAACATCAACATCCGAAGCAGGCTACCCAGTCATGTTTGTTCCAAAGAAAAACGGCAAGCTACGACTAGTTGTCGACTACAGACGCCTAAACGATATTACAATGAAGGACCGAACACCATTACCGCTTATATCGGAACTACGAGATCGACTGCACGGCAAAAAATGGTTTACAGCCCTCGATCTCAAAGGCGCCTACAACTTAATACGCATGAAGAAGGGACACGAATGGATGACAGCTTTCAGAACGAAATTCGGACTATTCGAATATCTGGTAATGCCATTTGGACTCACAAATGCACCAGCTACCTTCAACGGATGATCAACAATGTCCTACGCGAACACTTGGACATCTTTGTGGTAGTATACCTGGATGATATCCTAATCTTCTCGGACACCCTAGAAGAACACAAGGAACACGTCCACAAGGTACTCCGCGCACTTCAGAATGCGAAGTTACTGGTTGAACCAGAAAAAAGCAAGTTCCACACACAGGAAGTAGATTTCCTCGGACACACGATCTCACCAGGAGAGATACGAATGCAACAAGACAAGATCAACTCAGTCAAAGAATGGCCAACGCCAAAGAACGTCAAGGACGTACAAAGTTTCCTAGGATTTGCGAATTACTACCGACGATTCATCAAAGATTTCGGAAAGATTGCAACACCACTACACGACTTAACGAAGAAGGAAAAAGAGTTTACATGGGACGACAAAGCCAACGAAGCTTTCGAATGCATCAAAACGACGATTACGCAAGAACCGGTCTTAACCACCTTCGATCCAGAACGACAAATCGAACTCGAAACCGATGCATCAGACTTTGCTCTAGGAGCACAAATCGGACAGAAGGACGATGAAGGAAGACTACGACCAATTGCATTCTACTCGAAAAAGCTACATGGCGCAGAACTCAATTACCCCATCTACGACAAAGAATTCCTCGCAATCATTCAAGCTTTTAAGGAATTTCGACACTACCTTCTCGGAAGCAAACACAAAATCAAGGTCTACACAGATCACAAAACATCTCACATTTCGCGACGACGCAACAATTGAACGGACGACAGATCCGATGGGCCGAATGTCTATCAGAATTCGACTACGAAATAATCCACAGAAAAGGAACAGAAAACGGTCGAGCTGATGCCCTCAGCCGACGATCCGACTACGACACAGGAGCACCTATTGTGAAAGGACAACTCCTTGAGCTCAACAATGAAGGGAATATGCAACAACGACAGCTTAACGCAATCTTCAAGGTCAATCCAGACGAAGGCCTTACGAAGAAGATCCAACAAGCCTACGATAAGGTTGATTGGGAACCACTTCCAGTTGTTTGGGAAGATGGCCTGGCAAAGCATCAAGGAAAGATCTTTGTACCAGAAGAACTTCAGGACGAAGTTATACGCGAAATTCACGAACACCCGACACACGGACACCAAGGAATCCGGAGGACGATGGAAAGAATTCGACGAATCTACGACTTTCCACGGATGAAGAAACGAATCAGCGAAACTATCAGAAAATGCGAACTTTGCGCACGAAGCAAAGCTGAACGACACAAGCCATACGGAGAATTACAACCACTACCAGTACCAGAAAAACCATGGATTCAATAGCTTTCGACCATGTCACGAAGCTACCACTGTCAAAAGAACCCATGACCAACGTCAAGTACGACAGCATATTCGTCATTACCGACAGATTGACGAAGTACGGATACTTCTTGCCGTACAAAGAAGCAAGCAATGCAGAAGAGCTAGCATATGTGTTCCTACGAACTATTGTCAGCAATCACGGACTACCGAACGAGATTGTCTCTGACAGAGGAAGCACATTTGTGGCCAAGTTTTGGCAAGCTCTCATGGCACAATTGGGGACGAAACATAAGCTCAGCACAGCTTATCACCCACAAACAGATGGACAAACAGAACGACTCAACCAAACGCTTGAACAATATTTACGATGCTACATCAGCTACGAACAAAACGATTGGGTTAAATGGCTACCGACGGCACAACTAGCTTACAACAGCTCAGTCACAGAGACAACCAAGCTCTCACCAGCATACGCCAATTACGGATACAACCCAGAAGCATTCAAGGTCACTCGACAAGGACCACAAGCGGAACGAGCGATACTGCAAGCAGATCAGCTACGAAAATTGCATAAAGAAATGCAACAAGAACTTCAATTCGTCAGAGAACGAATGTCCACTCACTACAATCGGAAAAGATTGCAGGGACCAATCTTTCAAGAGGAGACATGGTCTACCTCGTACGACGAAACATCAAAACAAAACGACCAAGCAACAAATTGGATTTCAAGAAACTTGGACCGTTCAAAGTCAAGAAAACCATTTCAAAAGTCAACTACGAACTTTCGCTACCAACAACAATGCGGATACACCCGATATTTCATATCTCATTATTGGAACCAGCACCACGAAACGCCAAACCACAGGAAAAATCGAAGTCGACGACGATCAA